CGCGGTGGCTCACGCCTGTAATCCCAGCACTTTGGGAGGCTGAGGTGGGTGGATCACCTGAGGTCAGGAGTTTGAGATCAGCCTGACCAATATGGCGAAACCTCATCTTAAATAAACAAATAAATAAAATTTTAAAAATAAAATAAATAATAAAAAGAAAAGAAAAGCAATTCTTGGCCACGAGTATAGAGTAGGAGCTTAGTCAAGGTAATTGAAGGATTGGATGACAGCTGATGAATCCCCAGGTGCCTGCGCCGGTCACTACCCATGCACTCTGGTAGCTACGAGGGTCCAGCCAGGGCGTTTGCACCAAGACCCCGCGGGGCGCTATGGGGGTGTCGCGCAGCTCCCGGCGCGGTAGTTATGGTACGAGTTCCCTCCATTCTCGTTTGTGTATTTGGCGCCTCCGTGGGGGCTCCTGACAGGGGTCCTCGCGGCGCGGCTGCAGACAGGGACCGACGCCCGGAGAAGCCGGCGCGGACCAGGGGGAGTGGGAGTTCGTTAGGGCGCGGCTCGGGGACTTTCCGGGGTGGGAATGGGAACACGGGTGCGCAAGGTGGGGATGGGAGCACGTGGGCGGCCGATCCCAGGGCTGCGGGGAGCGCTCCACCTTCCCGCTCCCGGTCCGCGGTGAAGGTGAGTGGACCGGCACCTGCAGGTGACAGCTGGGGCTGGACAAATGCCGGGCGGTGCACCGGGATCTGGCCGGCCTCAGAGCTGTTTGGCGCCAGCTGGCGGCTTCCTGCCAACCGGACCGCGACCCGCGCTGCGCTCCCGGCTCTCCTGGGCGCCCCCTGCTGGGCGGAGCTGGGGCCCAAGAGGACTGGCCTCCAGTGCATAGGGGTTGGGGGCCCGCTTGAGGGTAGGAGATAAGTTTTTGGAGTGGACAGGGTGAATGGCAGATGGCAGGTGGTGATCCAGTTCCCCAGGCCTTGGGGCAGAGTCAGTTTACCCCAGAGGGCAGTGTGGTGGCCATGGACCCGCTGTACACACAGGAAAGGCTGTCCCATCTCCGTGGGTGATGGCGTGGAGGAGAGGTCCCTGGACCGAGGTGCTTGTTGACTCTGGGTCTCTCTGGACAGATGGTGACAGACTGGGAAGTAGCATGGCCTAGATCTGGGGGTAGCCAAATGAGGAAATTGATGGGGAATGAAGACTCCTGGGGACCCCCAGGCCCCTGAGAGGGGTTAGGGGCCTGGGGGACAGAGAACACAGAGCTGTCCCTGGAGATGGGGGGGGGGCTTGGACTACAGCCAGATCTAGGGAACTTCAGAGCGTGGGAACAGGGGATTGTCCTCTGGACCTGCTGCCAGGGTTTTTTCATCCCATGGTAACTGTGCCCAGCTCCCAAGATGGTGCAGAATCAGCGCCTCGGACTTGGAACTGGGGCTGGCTAGGGACCTCCTAGCCTCATTTTCTCTACCTGTAAAATGGGCCCCTTGGGTCAGGCATGGTGGCTCATGCCTGTAATCCTAGAATTTTGGGAGGCCGAGGTGGGTGAATCACAAGGTCGGGAGTTCGAGACCAGCCTGACCAACATGGCGAAACCCCATCTCTACTAAATTTACAAAAATTAGCCAGGAGTGGTGGTGGGTGCCTGTAGCCCCAGCTACTTGGGAGGCTGAGGCAGGATAATCGCTTGAACCAGGGAGATGGAGGTTGTAGTGAGTCCTGCCTGGGCGACCGAGTGAGATTTGATCTATTAAAAAAAAAAAAAAAAAAAAAAAAAAGGGCCCCTTGACCCTGTCCTACCCTCCTCCCCAGGTAGAGAGGGTCCCAGGCAGCCATGGGCTCGGTGGCCAGAGGAATGTGAAGTACCCAGCAGACATTTCCCAAGCCCCTTCCTCTCCTCAAGGCCAGCTTTTCATCCTCCTATCCACTCCAAAGGGCTCACCCGTCATCACGACCCTTTTAATGATGAGGGAATTGGGAGGCAGAGGGGGTCGAGTCTTCTCCAGGGTCCCACAGTTGTGGTTTCAAGGCTTCTGACTGAGAAGGGGGAGCTTAGGGGGCCTTGGAGCACTGGGGCCTCCCAATGGCGTGTCCAGCCCCGTCCTGAGTGACAACCACCTCAGCTGGGGCCTAGGGGTGCTGGGAGGGTGGACACCCAACCCATGCCATGTGAGCTGAGGCTGCAGCCCCATCACATCACAGCCCCATCAAGGACAGGGCAGTCTTCGGGCCCCTGGTGAGGCTGTGGGCATTGGGGCAGACAGATCGGTTCTAGGGGCCTGAGGATCCCCTTCTGTCCCTTGAAGTAGCCGAAGGGCCTCTGGAGCCCAGAGCTGTCCATCTTTGAGGTGACATGGCACTAAGAAGGTGTGGGGCAGGTGGCCCTGGGCTTCTGTACCTGGATGGTTTTGACTCAGAGCCTGAGGTGGACACCTTGGAGGATGGAAAGTCCAAGGAAGCCAGGTGCGGTGGCTCATGCCTGTAATCCCAGCACTTTGGGAGTCCGAGGTGGGTGGCTCACCTGAGCTGGGGTAACAGGTGCTAGCCACCATGCCTGGCTAATTCTTTGTATTTAGTGGAGATGGGGTTTCACCATGTTAGTCAGGCTGGCCTCAAATTCCTGACCTCACGATCCACCTGCCTCCACCTCACGATCCACCTGCCTCCGCCTCCCAAAGTGCTGGGATTACAGTGTGCCACTGCGCCCAGCCGGGACTTCTTTAAACTGGAGAGTACCATCCCATTTGGTTTCTGGACAAGGGAGAACAGGACAGTGGGTCCTGGAGACCTCAACTACAGCTAGAAGTGGGGACCTGGGCCCCAGTATTGGGGTGATTGGGAGATAGGATACAGGTGGGTTGTGAGGCTTGGACCTGCGGGTCCAGGTGGTCCTCATGAAACATGATCTCTCCATGACTGCTGGGCTGCAGCCCACTGCGTTTCGGAGGGGCAAGGGACGGGGACACAGCACAGGCTGGCTCATGGTGCCTTCTTTATTGTCCACCCCTAACCCCCTTCTTTGTAGCCCCCTCCAAACGACAAAACTACCCACACCCCATGGCCCAACCCCAAAGTGTTGGGATTCAGAGTTGCGAGAACACTGGAAGCTCCCCCTCTGACAGCAACGGCGACACCCTGGGTGCAAGCGGGGCCGGATCTGGGTGGGCAGAGGAGTTGGGAGGCTGAGCCTCAGCGCCTTGGGCCCCTGCCCCCCTCTCCACCCAAGCATTCCTCGGCCTTACCCGCCGGGGCGTCGGGGCGTGGCGGCCCGGGCGCGGCGGCCGCGGGGGTGCCGGGGCGGTGGTCCTCCAGGTGCAGGGTCATGGCGGGCCGCGAGGCCGTGGAGAAGGCGCACTGCATGCACGAGTAGCGGCCGCGCGTGTGCTCCCACACGATGCGGCTCGGGGCCGCGTGCCCTGCAGGCAGGTGGGACCCCGTCAGTCCCCAGCCCAGAGGACCCGTACGCCAAGGATGGAGGACACGGGCAAGGGTGGGTGGGACCTTTCCCCGCCCCCATCAGCTTCCAGGCGCCTAGATCCGTTTTTCCGGAGTCTGTCTGCCCCTAGAGTTAGGGAAACCCTACTTGGCTTCTCCGCGTCCCCTACTCCCATCCCCGGATCCACCGCCGGGGAGAAGCCCGCTTCGAGGCGAACGGTGAACGGGGCGCGAGGTTTACACGGGAACGCCGGCGCAGATAAAGGCGCAGGTGCCAGTCATATTTAAGGCAAAAATCCTGTATTTCGGGACGGTGGCATTTCTGTCTCCCTGGGAAGGGAATGGGCACTGCTGCCTCCCCGCATCCACCTCACCCCGCAGGGCGCAGGAAAGAAAGCCCTTCCACCCCTCCCTGGTGGTCACCTGCACGCACCTGAGGGCGCGTCGGAGCCGCCCTGGGGTCTTCGAGGGCTGCTGCCAGCACCTGCGGTAAAGGGGAGGGTCAAGTTCAGAGTCAGGGCGAGCCCAGCCCGCCCTCCTGGAGGCCCCGCCCCACACTCACCTTGGCTCTTTTTCCAGACGGCGGCGCTAGAAGCCGGCGGCCCGGGCGCGGCGGCCAGGAAGGGCCGCAGGCGCGGGGGACTTAGGCCAAAGGGCGCAGGGTTCAAGTAGGGCAGGAAGGGGCCGGAGGGAGCAGGGGCAGGGGTCGTGAAAGGCTCGAGCAGCGGGAACGGCAGGCCGGGCGCTGACGCGGGGTCGGCCTCTGGGGGCCGCTCGGGCGCGAGGGGCTCCCGGTCCAAGGCCGGGGGTGGCGGCGGGGCTGGACTCTGCGCATGCTCTGCGCAAACATGCAGGTGCTTGAAGAGCGAGCGGTGCGTACGGAAGCGCAGGAGGCAGTTCTCACACCTGGGGGCGGGCAGAGGGCCGGGCTGAGCCTCCAGGACCACCAGGGAGAGGGGCCTGTGCCATGCCACCCGCCCTGCGAGCGTGGGAACGGAGCCTGGGCCCCAGTTGCCTCCCAGCTCCCGGACAACTGTGGCAGCGACCCTTCCTGACCACTTCGGGTGGGAACCCTGGGGAAACCCAGAAAGAAGTCTCAATATTAAGTTAGGTGGCCGGTTTTCCACTTGGGAAACAGTCGGGCTGGGTGGAGCCACGCCCACATATGCCCCGCCCATCCAGGGAGGCGAGGGCGGGACTTACCCAAAGCCTCGCCCACATCAAGTCCCGCCCTCCAACATCCTGAACAGGAAAGGAGACAGGCCTGGAGCCCACACATAGGGTGAGGCTAGGGCAGGGCGGAGCTCAAGAGGTCAGGGTCTCACTTGAAGTAGCGATTGGGCTTGTAATGCAGTTTGCTGTGAGTCACCAGCTCCTGCATGCTGGGGAAGGTCTCGGTGCAGCTCAGGGCCGAGCAGCGGAAGAGCTTGCCTGGTAGGGATGAAGGACAGAGGAGTGGAGAGAGGAGAGAGGAGTGGAGAGAGGTGGCCAAGGCTGGCTCCAAAGGGCTCCGCCTGTTTCCCACCCTAACCTGCCTCCCCATGACCGGCCCTGGCCCTACCTTCCAGGGACTGTGTGGGCGGGCAGTGGGTTCGCAGATGCTGTGCCAGGTCACGAATGCTGGGGAAACTGAGGCAGCAGCCAGGGCTGGAGCAGGGGATTTGCTTCCCTGCAGGACGCACAGAACAGGAGTCAGTGGTCCCTTCCTCACTAATGCTGTCCCTGACCCCAGGGCTCTGCCCCAGAGAAGCAAATATGATGCTAGGGCCTTTACTCTCTGCTTCCCAGAAGAGACTGATCTGCCACAGTGCAGGGGCTGGATTGGCCGGGCTCAACACTGAAGCCACAGCCTGGCATCCACTGGCTGCTCAGTAAAATGAGTGGCATCCCTCTATAAAGGCCCCCGGGGTTAGAGATTCTCTAACCCTTCTATTGTTCCAGGGCCTGTGACTCCCCAGAAGGTCCCATCACAGATCACCTGAAGGTGGGCGTCGTCTGGGAGGCCGCAGGTCCTCGCTGGTCCCGGAGACTATGCTCGTCAGGCCCGGGCTGGGTCCCGGCCCAGGCTGGCAGCTGTCTGGGGCTGGGGAGGAGCCCTGCTGAGTCCCTCCAGGCCCTCCACGTTCCCACACTAGTGGTGTGGTTGCCTGCTCAGGGCCTGGCTCCTCCGCCATGGAGGAGGAGGTGGCTGCAGCTGGCACAGCCGGGGACAACACCTCCTTGTCGGTCTCACTGGAGCTGGGCTCTGCAGTAGCCGGCATGTCCGGGCTGGGCCCTGAAGGTTTCTCCTCCTGGTGGAAAGGAGAGAGAACCCTTCTGGGATCTGGGTCCACCCAGTTGCCCCCATCCTAAGGAATCACCAGCAGAAGAGGACAGGGGGTTAAGTAAGGGTGGACTACGTTCCTTTTTATAAAGATGGGATCTCGCCATATTTGCCTCGCTGGTCTTGAACCCTTGGTCTCAAGTGATACACTTGCCTCGGCCTCCCAAAGTACTGGAATTACAGGCATGAGTCACTGTACTGGCCCGGACTGAGCTCCTTATGCACATGGGAGAAGCACCTCCTCTCCTAAACTAGGATAAGTGGGAGCCCCAGTATGCGACAGGGGCGTGGCCTGGAGTGGGCGGGGCCAATGATACGGAGGCGGGGCTATGGGCAGGGCGCGACTGGGAAGATGCTAGAAGGAGACAGACAAGGACTGTTTGAGGATCAAGAAACACCGGCCGGCCTCGAGCAGTGTGGACAATCTTGGAGGTGCAGGGGGCCCGGATGTACGAAGTTCAGGGGTGGAGACCTAGCCTAGTGGGCGTGGTCCACTCTAGGCCGGGCTCGGGGACGCCCTCCGATTGACAGCCAGCGGCGGACGGGTGCCCGGATGTGGGGGCGGGGTCGGCCGGAGGGTTTATGTGCGACAGGGCTGCTCCCCGCCAGTTCCCGCCTCTCCGCCGTGCCCGCGACCCCGGCGCCGCGCTCACCATCTTCGATACAGCTCGGCCTCTTGTTCCTGCGGCTCCAGCAGCTCCAGCTTAGGCAGCGGCCACCCTCTGGGCAATGCGAGCTTGCGCTCACATCAGCGCCATTTTCCGCCTCTCAGCTCTCGCGAGATTGGGGGCGGGGCCTGCGCTGGGCGCTGGAGACGGGGCGGGGTCTGAGGTCTGAGTAGTCGTAGAGCGCAGCTTGAACGCCGGTGCAGCCTTGCTAGCCCAGAGCAATAAGAGCGCACTTCTGCAGAGTCCGTGCACAGAGATTCGGGATGATCTCGCTGTCCTAGTCTTTAAAATGGGCACCTTCATCTCCTCTAGTCCTGTCCCAACACCATCCTTGGACAGTCGATAAACAGCAGTTCTCCTTCTGTATTTTTTATAGTATTGAGACAGGGTCTTGCTCTGTCGCCCAGTCTCGAGCGCAGGAGTGTGATCACAGCTCGCTACAGGCTTGATCTCCTGGGCTCAGATCCTTCCATCTCAGCCTCCGGAGTAGCTGGGATTACTGGCGTGCGCCACCGTGCCTAGCTACTTTAAATTTTTTTTTTTTCTTTTTAGACGGTGCCTTGCTGTGTCTCCAGGCTGCAGCGCAGTGGCGCGATCTTGGCTCCACTGTGATGCAACCTTCGCCTCCCGGGTTCAAGCAATTCCCCTACCTCAGCCTCCCAAGTAGCTGGGACTAGAGGCGTGCGCCACCACACCCGGCTACTTTTTTTGTATTTTAGTAGAGACGGGGTTTCATCATGTTGACCAGGATGGTCTTGATCTCCTGACCATCCGCCCGCCTCGGCCTCCCAAAGTGTTGGGATTATAGGCTTGAGCCACCACGCCCGGCCAAATGTTTTTTAGAGACAGGGTCTCTCTGTGTTGCCCAGGCCAGTCTCAAACTCCTGGGCTCAAGCGATCCTCCCGCCTCGTCCTTACAAAGTGTTAGGATTGCAGGCATGAGCCACCTCGCCTCGCCTTACACTCACATCTTAAAATGGGGAAACAGCATCGCTTGAGCCAGAGAGGCCGAGGCTGCAGTGAGCCATGAAGGCACCACTGCACTCCTGTCTGGTCGAAAGAATGAGACCCCATCTCTAAAAGTTAAATAAAAATAAATAAAAATGGGGAAATAGTAAATCAACACATGCAAAAGCAGTCTTTGGTCCTATTCAGTGCAATGAAGGAAACAATGTTGTAGTGATGGGTCAGGGAAGCCACTCTGAGGAGGTGACCTCGGAGCTGTCGCCTGATGATCCAAGAGTGAGCTGGTGGAGAGCCCAAGGAGCAGGGCGCTCTACCGGATAGCCGGTGCAGATGTCCTGGCGTGGGGTGGAATGGGCTTATTTTGGTCAAACAGCAGCGAGACCAGGGCACCAGTGGAGCAGAGTGGAGGCGGGGTGTGGAGGTCAGAAAGTGAATATGGTGCAGGGCAGGTCATGCAGGGCCATTGGGGTGGTGCAGAGAGAGAAGTGTGGTTTCTGTTGTAACCACTGACAAATTTTTAGCAGGGGGAGGTGTATCATCTGATTCCTGGTAGTCACTTGGAGGAGGATGGGCTGTTGAGAGGGTGGTAAGAATAAAGCAGATCTTAGATCTCTCTCTCTCTCTCTCTCTCTCTCTCTCCTCTCTGTCTTTTTATAGATGGAGTCTCGCTCTGTTGCCCAGGCTGGAGTGCAGTGGCATGATCTCGGCTGACCACAACCTCTGCCTCCTGGGTTCAAGCGATTCACCTGCCTCAGCCTCTTGAGTAGCTGGGACTACAGGTACCTGCTACTACACCCGGCTAATTTTTGTATTTTTAGTAGAGACGGGGTTTCACTATGTTGGCCAGGCTGGTCTCGAACCCCTTATCTCTTGATCCGCCTGCCTCACCCTCCCAAAGTGCAGGGATTACAGGCATAAGCACCTCGCCTGGCCATCTTAGATCTCTCTAATACATTATGCAGCATTCAAGAGGTGTTTGTTGAGTGCTAGGCAACTGTAGGTCTTATGTGCAATGTATTTCCATCTGTAAAGCAAGTTGTACCTATGCACTTTTGTTTTGTTTTTGAAACAGAGTCTCACTTCTGTCCCCCAGGCTGCAGTGCAGTGGCATGATCTTGGATCATTTCATCCTCCGCCTCCTGGGTTCAAGCAATTCTACTCTGGAGTAGCTGGGACTACAGACATGCACCACCATGCTTGGCTAATTGTTTTGTATTTTTGGTAGAGATGGGCTTTTGCCATGTTGGCTAGGCTAGTCTTGAACTCCTGGCCTCAGTGATCCACCTGCCTTGTGCTTCCAAAGTACTGGGATTACAGGCATGAGTCACTGCATCAGGGTTTTTGTTTTTCTGAGACACAGTCACAGTCTGTTGCTCAGGCTGGAGTGCAGTGGTCTGGTGATCACAGCTCACTGCAGCCTCTACCTCCCTGGGCTCAAGTCATCCTCCTGCCTCAGCACCCCTAGTAGCCACCACACCAAGCTAATTTTTGTATTTTTTGTAGAGATGGGGTTTTGTCACATTGCCCAGGATGGTCTAGAACTCCTGGGCTCAAGTGATCTACCCGCCTCAGCCTCCAAAGTGTTGGGATTTCAGGTGTGAGCTACTGTATCTGCCCTCCTATGGGCTTTTCTATGTAGATAATACCTTTAGAAGGAGATATTTAAAAACTAGGGAGAGGAACAGGGATGTTTGAGTGGGAGAGAGACTGACTTTTCACTTTTGTGTTTTTTGAATTAAATTTTTTTTTTTTTTTTGGTCCAGGTGTGGCGTCTCAAGTCTATAATCCTAGCACTTTGGGAGGCTAAGGTAGGAGGATCACTTGAGCCCAGGGGTTTGAGACCAGCCTGGACAACACAGCAGGACTCCATCTTTACAAAAATTAAAAAGATTAGCTGGGCATGTTGGCATGTGCCTGTAGTCCCAGCTACCTGGGAGCCTGAGGTGGGAGGATCACTTGAGACCAGGATTTAGAGGCTGCAGTGAGCTATGTTCATGCCGCTGCACTCTATCCTGGGCTACAGAGCAAGACCGTGTCTCAAAACAAAACAAAACAAAATAAAAATAAATTAACATTTTTTTCTTTTAATTATTATTCAGTTAAAAACTCATTTGCTTTAAAAAACAAAGATCATTTTGATGCAGGGTGAGGAGGGATGTGTGTGTGCAGGGGAGGCTAGTGCAATGTAGGGGAAGGATATGGTGAAGTGGCAGAAGGGACAGGGACCCAAGGAAGGAAGGGAAAGGAGGGACTAGAGTTAAGAAATGTTGTAGGCTGGGCACGGTGGTTCACACCTGTAATCACAGCACTTTGGGAGGCCAAGGCAGGTGGATCACAAGGTCAGAAGTTCTAGACCAGCCTGACCAACATGGTGAAACTCCGTCTCTACTAAAAATACAAAAATTAGCCGGGCGTGGTGGCACATGCCTGTAATCCCAGCTACTCGGGAGGCTGAGGCAGGAGAATAGCTTGAAACTGGGAGGCAGAGGTTGAGGTGAGCTGAGATAGGCCAATGCGCTCCAGGCGGGGCAAAAAGAGGGAAACTCTGGCGGAAAAAAAAAAAAAAAAAAACTCTGTCTCAGAACAAAAAAAAAAAAAAAAAAAAAAAAAAAAAAAAAAAAAAAAAAAAAAAAACTCATTTGCTTTAAAAAACAAAGATCATTTTGATGCAGGGTGAGGAGGTGTGTGTTTTTGTGTGTGTGTGCAAGGGAGGCTAGTGCAATGCAGGGGAAGAATGGGGTGAGGTGGCAGAAGGAACAGGGACCCAAGGAAGGAAGGGAGAGGAGGGACTAGACTTAAGAAATGTAAAAGAGTCAACAGGATGTAGGGGTGAGCAGCAGGCGGGGCAAACACGACTGAGGTCTGTAGTCTGAAGATGCCTGTAACTAGATAGGAGATGATATCAGTCAGCATATGCTAAACCTTTAAGATAATGGTCCACAGGGGCATGCACAGTGGCTCACACCGTAATCTCAGCACTTTGGGAGGCTGACGCAGGATGATGATTTGAGTCCACGAATCCAAGGCTTCAGTGAGCTATCATCATATCACTGCATTCCAGTCTGGGGCAACAGAGTGAAACCCTGTCGCAAAACAACAGCTTCAAGAATCAGATTCTGGGGTGCAGTGGTGCGTGCCTGTATTCTCAGCTACCAGGGGGAAGGCCGAAGTTGGAGTATCGCAGGTGCCCAGGTGGTTGAGACCAGCCCCGACACAGTGAGACCCCATCTTCAAAGAAAGAAAAGGAAAATGAGAGATGGGAAGCACCAGGGCCATTTGAGAGATTGTTAAATGCTTTTGTGTAATCATTGAGCAATAAAAGGGTCCTTGAGACCCGGTTTCAGCCTTGGGAATTCTTTCCAGCCATGCTCAGCTTCCCAAGACAGTCACAGAAGGGAGAATAGATTCTGCAGAAGGCTCTGCTGGCCAGTCATGCTCTCTGTGTGTATGTGTGTATGTGTGTGAGTCAGAGTCTTGTTCTATCACCCAGGCTGGAGTGCAGTGGCACAATCTTGACTCACTGCAACCCCCACCTCCCCAGCTCAAGCAATTCTCCTGCCTCAGCCTCCAGAGTAGCTAGGCCTATAGGCGTGCACATCACGCCCAGCTAATGTTTGTATTTTTAGTAGAGATGGGGTTTCACCATGTTGGCCAGGCTGGTCTTGAACTCCTTACTTCAAGTGATCTGCGTATATCAACCTCCCAAAGCCCTGGGATTACAGGCGTGAGCCACAGCACTCGGCTGAGAGTCTTGTTTTGATTACTGCTCTCCTGGGAATTCCCGATGCCCTGTTCTCCAGTTGGGTAGGTATTCTGTGCCTGGAGTTCCCCCATCACAGCTTAGATCCCTCTGTGCAGTGCTTGCCATCAAAATCCGCTGAGACTGACCCTCTCCCACCTTCTTGGCTCCTACTGCAATACCCATTCCACCTCTGAGTTCCCCTCTTTTCTGTGGCCCAGTCCTGACCTCACCAGTCTGCCCCATCTCTCCTGGACTGGCTTCTCTTTGAGGGGCTGAGCATGGAGTGGGTGTCCATATTAGAAAATTAGAATTATAATAATAATTATTATTATTAGAAAGACAGGGTCTCAGCCAGGCACAGTGGCTCAGGCCTGTAATCCCAGCACTTTGGGAGGCTGAGGCAGGTGGATCACGAGGTCAGGAGTTCAAGACTAGCCTTGCCAAGATGGTGAAACTCCATCTCTACTAAAAACACAAAAATTAGCCGGGTATGTTGGTGGGTGCCTGTAATCCCAGCTACTGGGGAGGCTGAGGCAGAGAATTGCTTGAACCTGGGAGGCAGAGCTTGCAGTGAGCCGAGATCGTGCCACTTCACTCCAGTCTGAGTGATACAGTGAGATTCCATCTCAAA